CGAACACCGATTTTGTGTTCTTGGAGGCGGAACCTGGTGAAGACGATTACTTCTACGCATACATGTGTTGGTTCGAGGACCTCGGCATAGAGCTGCCCTTTGATGATTTTCAGATGGGGGTTCTCCAAACCCTAAATGTGGCGCCGACCCAGTTGCACCCTAATGCTTGGGCGGCCATGCAAGCATTTCGAAACTTGTGTCTTTGTCTCAGCCTCACGCCTCGGCCACTCGCATTTCTTTATTATTATACTTGCCGCCCGAGCAAACCGGTAAAGTGGGTTTCTTTAGCTCGGGTACCGAAACATGGCTTTCTACGGGCCTTCACCTCTTCGTACAAGGGATTTAAAAGTGGATCTTTCAAGGTTCGCTGGGGGTCAGAGATGAGGGATTGCTTCTATGACCGAGAAGACTCCCCGCTGTTCCCATTCTACTGGACGAGGCATCCGACGCGCTTTGAGGTGATCCCTGCCTCAAAATTCCCTGCCGAGGACAAGGAGATTGTGGATTTGTTAGATCAACTGCCGAAGGAGCTTCCTGTCCGAGACCTATTGGAAATTTTTGAGACGTCTCATTTTGAGATGGTCTTGCTAAGTATGTGTGCTAGGATTCGGTTACTTAATAAGTTTTTAAATTGATGTTAAAATTTGCTTTGTTGTAGGATTGATGGCCGGAGGCAAGTTGGACGTAACCGCGATGCTCGCCAAGAGGGCGAAGGAGGTGAAGGAGAGTGGGAAAGTGCCGCCGGCCAGGTCGGCCCTCAGGGTACAGCGAGACAAGCCCACGCAAGTACTAATTCCCCTGGCCGATCCCAAGAAAAAAGGGAGTACGTCTCGGGTGCGTGCAGCTGAGCATAATATAGAGCCGGAACGTCTGAGCTCCTCCTCCAAGCGACCGAAGCAATTATCATTGGAGCAGGCAGGGTGCGGGGCTTTCGCCATTCCCGCTGTTGTGGCGGGGTCGAACTTTTTGGCCTCGGACGTGCAGGTCGAGAATTTGGTAAGTCTTGACCTAACCACCAGAGGGGGACTCCAATACTTGGAGGGAATGTCGACGGAGGCTGAGTATAAGCTCTTCTGTGAGCTTGATGCTCGGACCTCACTCGTGGCAAAGCACGTGATGATGAGGTCGGCAGTCTCGGCCGAGATGCTCCAAACTCGCCTGAAGGATGTTGAGGCGACGGTGAAGGATGCCTTAAGTGCTAACGCCAAGGCGATCGAGTCGGCTGAGGAGCTGAAGAAGGTGGCCGACGCCCATCGTAGGGAGGCTGACGATCTGAAGTTGGCTATGCAAAAGATGAAGGCCGAAGCTGCCGCTGCTGCAAGTGAGATCACCCGGCTTAAAGAGGCAACCGCACAGTTTGAGGCCGAAGCCACCGAGCAAATCCTCGCTCAGCACGACGCCGGCTTCCAACACGCCGTTCGACAAGCTCACCAGTTTTGTGATGTCCCGGCTGACTTTAAGTTTGATGTTAGCTGAGACTTCCTAGGTGGCAAGTTTATGAGCTATGCCGAGTTTCCTCAAGGGGCTCAACCGGATGCCGAAGCCCCACGCCAAGGTGTGTCTAGCCGGGCTACTGTGCAGCCAAAGAACACACCATGGAAGGAAGGAGCCCATCACTCTTCCTCGGGGAGCTCAGGATTGAGGTAAGAAGTTAGAAATCTTGGATTTTTATGATTTGTGGGTTGTTGATTGACTTAAGAACTCAAAATTGGTGTGAATTCTGAAAATTTGAGTCGGGGAAAAGGAATTTGAAGTTGTTTGCATGTGAAAGCTAAAACCTTATTGTTCTTGATGATCTCTTTGAAATATTGATGTATGCATGTTGTATTTCTTGGGGTTTTGGGTTGTATGAACAAATTGAGTAGAGATTATGAAGGTATATCATGTTTAGGGGTAAAATTGATGGATTATAAGTGAAAAACAAAGGTGAGAAGTCATGAAAGTGCAGAAAGCTTTGCACTCAACACTAGAGTGCTGAAACAATGTTGCAATTGTGAGAGAAAACAAGGAGGCCGAGATCTAGCACTGTAACTCCAGGTTGGGAACTACAGTCTTGGGAGGAACTGATCTGACAAAGATCCAGCGCTACAACTCCAAGTTAGGCACTACGGCCCCAAGAGAAAATGAAACTGGCAAAAAGTCAGAGTTGGAGTGCTGAATTGAGTGTTGCAGCACCGAGGGTAGATGACTGAATTTGGTCTTGGGGTCTTCATGAAAGGAGGTCTAGAACTCCATTTATGCAAGGGTCAAGCTTTCAACATTTAAGTAAATGGTTTTGGTTTTGAACATTTTTAACATGATAGATGAGGGAATTAGAACTTGAGTTCTTCATGAAAGTTGTAGAAAATCTTCTTGACTTTCATATGAGATAAGGATGAGCATAATAGGAGTAATAGAACTCCCTATGGGTTGTTTCATATGAAAGTTGTCAATGTAGGATAAGTGATTTTGATATGCTGCATGTTGACACATGTTGTATGATATGTAAATTTGGTGAACATGAATAGAATGCTTGTGTTTATTGCATATTTTGTTATAGAATGATGATAATAAGCATTGGTATGCGTCTCTTGGAGTAGGTTTTGAGATGTGTTGATTCTCCTCCAAATCCTTAGTTAGTGGTTGAGTAAAGTAGGAGGTCGAGGGTTACAACCCTTAACCAAGTACCTGGAAAAGTTGTGTGGTTCCTTGAGGATAATTAGTGGACGAATTTCATATGTGACTTGGTAATGCATGCCAAGGTCGTGGTAAACTTATACCCAGTTGTATTACTTTTGACAGTGGAACCAAACTTTTCTAGTGTAAGTGATGAGACCTGAGAAACCAAAGAAGGTATTGGTATCCCATTTTGTTATGATCAAGCCGACGTTTCGAGCGTGAAAATGATTGGATTGATTCGATAGGGTGGAAATCACTTAGACTACTCATATTGTTAGGAGATTTCCGTAGCTAAATGCATGACAACGCATTGATTGATGTGTTTGTATATGATGTATGTTGAGGTGTGCTCATGGGCATTTTGATGTCTTTTGGAACATGAGTGGGTGAGGTACATGCTTGCTTGGGATGTGATTAGCATTCATGTATGATATCTGGTGTGTTGTTGTATATTATAGACTTGTTTTCTATATGTACATATTTTTTAACTCTAGCTTACCCTTTCTATTTCCATGGTGGTTTGGACTGCAATGATCATACGTTGTATGTGAGCAGATCAGGATTAGGCTTGAAGAGTTGATGCAAGCAAGTGTTGTGACCTTTTGATGGCGATACTACTAATGTGTCTTGTATTGTGCTTGACCGATACTAGGACGTAGGATTATTTTGGGATGATTGTATACACACACATATATATATCCTGTTTATATTAGTTTTGTTGTTTTATTTATATACTCATGTTATATATATATATATATATATATATAGATGTATGTATGTTTGTATGGTATATTTTTTATATTAATCTTGTATGTTCTAATAACTTAGTTTCAGTTACTAATAATAATGATTTCACACAATGTAACGACTATGACAGATCATTACAAAGAGCAAAGGACCAACAATGTCAATCAATTATCAATTCAATTATTATGTACCATGCGCTACTATTAATAGAAAGAAGAAGAAAAAACAAAATTCAACCCAACACCACTTACATACTTTTCCACTATAGCTAACTAGTAGCTATATCTTTATGAATGCAACTCGTGGACGAAAGATGGATGATTTCAACCACCGCAAGGTGAAATGCATGTCCTTATTACCAACAAATCCAAGCCGCAAATCCCCCTCCCACTCTATATCTTATCCCAATGCCCAAGACACTAAATAACTTTTTCATCTTTAAATTAAAATAATCCGAACCAATTAAAAATAATAATTATCTTTGTTTTAGATTAAATTCCAGATAAACTAAACTAAATAAACTCAATTAAAATATTTTTAGCAATTAAGGTCAAATACGTAAATATCCAAACATCATACAAAATTACAAAATTATTTAGTTAGTTGTTAATTTAAATTGATATCTTCTACGCAATTGAATATTCTGACTTGATGCAACTTTCTGATATTTATTCATAGGGTTGTCTAACCATGTGTTAGAACGTCAAATTTCAATTATTAAGTGTATACATATTGCAAATTACGGGATGTTACATTAAGCACATTACCTGCAAATCGGATAAATGTGTTCCTAATTCATTTTCACCCAAATTTATAATACTTTATGAAACATAATTTTCAATATTTTTATCGATTAATTTTTTTAATTAAACACTAGTAAAGGACATTTTGTCGTGAATATTTATTGATTGAATACCCCACTGAACGACACTGTTGAATAATGTATTGACACCAACACAAAGAGGCCAAGTTCCATGCATGTTTGAAACTCCTGAAACAGATTATAAATAAGGGAATTATTACATTACCTTTATAAATTAGGATGCTTGGTACAGAGAATTTTTTAAATTAATAAAAATGTTGTAAAATGTAAGTTTTTTTTTTCTTTTCTCTTTCATTTTTTTCTTTCATACTAAGTGATATATTTTTAACAAACAAATAATCTAAGTAATTAATTTATTATTTTTTTCATAAAATATTTGGTCTAAATGTTTCTAATTATTTTGTAGAAATAAAAATAATTTTAAGAAAAATACAACAAGATTTTATTTGCTAAAATTGAGAGAAATTTTGTAAATTTTTTATTTAATATACTCCTTATAATTTATACGCAAGTATAAAAACTTTTAGTTTATCATAGCTCATAATATATTAAAAATATTCTTATTAAATTCAAATATTTCATATATATATATATATATATATAGAATTTTAAAAAATATATATTAAAATAAAAAATATAAACGTGTTAACAATATAAAGAATTCTAAATCAAATGTTGAAATATTTAAAAAGAAACAAAAACAATTTCAAAGCCCTTTAAATATGTAAGGGTACAGTAGAGAAATTTCTCTATAAATAAAGCATGCTTGCCCGGAGTTGATCTCACTCATAAACGAAGTTGATAAATCGTATTCCAAATCTGTCCATTTTTTTATTCCTAAATTAATGGAGTCTCCTTCATCCTCCCTTATCGAAAAGATTAAGGGGAAGTTATTCTCCTCAAATGTTGATCCTTACACTTTTATATGTCCTTCAGCTTATGATACTGCATGGTTAGCAATGATACCTGATTCCCACAATACCCAACCCATGTTCAAAAATTGCTTGGAATGGCTTCTTAACAACCAAAATCAAGAAGGGTTTTGGGGTGAGTGTGATGCCTTTGGCAAACCTACATTAGAAACGCTTCCAGCAACTCTGGTTTCAATAGTAGCACTCAGAAAGTGGAACACCGGTGCATTAATGATCGACAGAGGTTCTATATATACTTACATGCTTTTCATATTGTTTCATATTATTAATTAGTAACTCATTAATCTTTTTTTACATATATATATATATTTATCTTAGGTTTGGTCTTCATTAAAACAAATATTGAGAAGCTGCTAAATGATATCGATAACTATTACCCACGTTGGTTTAGTATTGTTTTTCCTGCCATAGTTCAGCTTTCACAGAGTGCTGGTTTAGAAATTGTGTTTTCTGATGCACTGACCAGGACAGTGTCAAGTATCTTTAGCCATCAACAAAATCTTCTCCACAAGTACTCATCGAATCTTCCCTTCAAAATATTTTAATTTGTTCATTAGTTTTTCTTTGACTATTATTCTTGGCTTCATGACTAAGATATTTTTTTGCTGAATTTGAATGAATAGTGAGGAACTTGTGGGGAAGAATTGCTTCCCACCACTGTTATCATATCTTGAATCTTTGCCAGCTTCATATAGAGTAAGTGAAGAAGATATATGTAGCAATCTGAGTAGTGATGGTTCACTGTTCCAATCACCATCTGCTACTGCAAAAGCATTCATGGCTACTGGGAAGATTGAGTGTCTGACCTATTTACAGTCTCTGATTCAAAGATGCCCTAACGGAGGTTTGGACCTAGTTTTAATTTCTCTCTTAAGAACCAAATTAAACAAATTAATTACAAACTGTTATGATTAAGTTCAGATACCTTATAAACAGATCTAAACACTTAATTTGTTGTCTTTAATTAATTACTTATTATTTTGCTTCCTTTGTTTGTTTTTCGTTTGAAAAATCTTTTGACATTGCTACAGTTCCACAAACATATCCCATGGATGAGGACCTTATAAAGCTTTGCATTGTAAACCATTTACAAAGGCTAGGGTTGGCTGAGCACTTTGATGAAGAGATTGAAGAAATTTTGGCCACAGTCTACAGGTAAAGGCCGTATTTAGGAGACAACGTGGTCTATATGTATTGGCAAAAGAAAACAACACAATTTCTAGAGATTGTAAATGTTGGGAAAAAGAAAAACATTTACATACCATTGTTATATGATTAATTTATAAAATTGATACAATATATCATTACTACAATACACAATAACACTAAATTTATGCATTCAGGAGATAAATAAATATTTTTAAAATTGTCCAAACTAATAGTTTTATCCGTACACGGTATATTTATTATAAATTCATAATGTTTACACCTAAATGATTTGAATTTATATTTGGTTATAATTGATTAATGTATGCTTTAATTTTTGTTAAAAATTTTAATGTATCAATCATTATGAAAGGGTTTTAGGGCATCTTCAATGGAAGCAACTCATTTGAATTGTTTTATGTATTGAAAAATGAAAAAAATAGTTCCTAGTGTGTCATGTCAGCATTTAGCAACTCAAATACAAATTTACTCCATTAATAAAAAACTTTAAGAAATTCAACTTTTAGATTTTTTTTTCTAATAATTTATGAATCAAATTTAAATTTTTATTAAAAAGGATAATTGCACTACAATGAAAGAAAATAAATTACGAGAAAAAAATACACAATAAGTAGATATTAAAAATAAAATAAAACAATAGTAAATACATAAACATTATACGAAATTAATTTTCATCATTATTATTTTCGAAACGTTCCCAAATATGTTAAATAAGATCTGCTTGAAGAAACAACTCTCTCTCTTCTTCAAGCAACTTATGTTGTCACATCAGAGTTCTCCAATGGCAAGAAATCGGGATTTGAGTTGTTTCATAAGACAAGCAACTCTCATTGGAATTAGGTGAGAAAAATAAAAGACTGACGTAAATTTAATATAATTAAGATATACTGTTTTAAAGATGATTAAGTATAACAAACATTTTGTTCTTTAAGAAAATAAAAAAATATTAGAATTTTCATTTTTATTATATTTTTTTATTTTATATATATATATATTAATAAAAATACAATAAACAAAAAATAAAATAAATTGCTAGTCATTTATGAATACAACTAAAAAAAAGAATCAAATAAGATAAAACCTTCCAAAATCCTTCTTTTAATCTATTGTCGAGATTAAAAAATTCATTAAAATATAATATATAATATTTATTTACTAAATATTAAATAAATAATTTTTAAGAATGTTATTGGAATCAATTAGAAATTTATCTATATCTATCTCTATAAATAGATATAAATATCCTAAATGAATAGAAGTGATCATATACATTTTAATTGCTCATTATTGTTGAATAATCTACAGTAATTAAGCCAATCTGCTATATATCTTGAGTTTCACCCGACATATATACAGGAACTATGTGGAGCAAGAATCATGGGTGAAATCCACCAATATGTTTGCAGCTCAACTTCACAAAGACTCTTTGGCATTTCAGCTCCTAAGGATGCATGGAAATAATGTATCACCATCATGTATGACCTCCTTTCAAATTAACTAAATTTTACACACACACATAACTTATAGAATTAAGCTAGTTATTTTTTACAAATAAGCATGCCTATTGAAATTTGTTTACTCTGTTACAAGAAAGGATCTTCTTAATGAACATGATTCCCCAAAATTTCTCTTCACAATAAATATAACATTAACTTTATGCACGTACTTATCCTCTCACACACACATATGGCTACTACACATATATCGACATTATGTTTTATCAGATTGGAATGGAGTTTAAGAACTTTAAAAATAATATTATATTTTTTTATTAAAATAACAAATAGATTAATTATTGTTAGACAAGTATTACACTATTTTTTTATATATTAATTATTTTTAAAGGAAACAATTTTAGTTATTAATTCACATTTTTTTCTGAAAATTTGATAATCATTAATATTAACATTTTTGTTATTCTCTTCAAAGAAAAAAAACTAACATTTTTTTCCTTAATATTTGTAAGGTGTGCTTGAACGGATAACTGTTGACATCATTATATTTCCTAATCAGTAAAAAAAGAAAATTTAATCATGAAGAAAACTACCTGAGAAGAACTTGTTCGTTGCTAAGTTGAGCCCAATATTTTACTAAAAAAAATATACTCATTAAAGTTCAAATGCAATATGCAGTGAGCTTTCGTTGGTTTCTAGAAGATGAAGAAATTAGAACACATGTTGAAAAGGAGCCAGAACATTTTTCAACTACAATGCTTTTAATGTACAGAGCCTCAAACCTGATTTTCTGTGGGGAAAATGAACTTGAGGATGTCAAATCTTTCGCGAGGGATCTGCTTCAGAAAAGCTTGCTAACTAAAAAAAACCGTAAGGGGAGATTCTCCCAATTCCAACAAATGGTATGGTGGACCTTCCTATACTTTTCAGTCTTTTATAAAAGAGACATTTCATGCCTTTTAATTAATTTAAGAGTGATTGTGAATAATTATTTAAAAGAGATTTTCTTTTCTTAAAAGTATAGTAGTCCACTGAAAGTAGAGATCAAAAAACGATATTAAGGTGTAATTTTTTGTACCAAGTCAACTTTTTTAAAAGTAAAACGATATATATTTTCAGTTACAATTTATATCCAAGTTAAATATCAAATTTTAATAGTTAATTAAAGAATACATGGAACTATTTATGCTAATAACTTTAGTATTTTCAGTTTAATTATAAGTGATTTTTTTTTATTAGAAAGTACACAGAAATGATTACAAAGGATTTTCTTTTCATTAGCATTAGAATTTTTTTTGTTTTGGTGGCAAAAATTTTCTTACGTATAAAATTAATGTTTGTGTGTGGTACTGCTGTATTAACTGGAAATGAATTTTTTAATTAAATTATTTAGCGTGCATATAATTTTTAGAGGTGAATTACATTCTCTAGGAAATCTTTATATCAATCAAATTTAATTTATTTTTAAAATTACACTATTTTCTCTAATAGAATAAAATTTATTATATATATATTCAAGTCGATTTGAATGCAAATTAATGAATAATAATTCAAAATGAAGTTCTCAATATTAATTTATTCTTATATATAAATTTTAATATCATTCAGATATTAAATTGTCGATTTTGACACTTTAGATTTTGGAATGAAGTCTTTTTAAAAAATTATTATTGATTTTACAACTTCATTAATTCGGAAATTTTATTTCATTATTTAAAATCACATAAATAATAATAATAATAATAATAGTAATAAGGGTATAAAACTAGCTGGCACTTGTCATTGAAAAGTAATAGAGTGTGAAAAGTTTTTTTTTTTTACTTCTTAACACTTTCACTAACCAACGTGCATGAAAACAATTTCACATCATTGGAGTTCCATATAAAACATTAATTAATCTTTATGCGAAAATAGTTCCAACTAATTAAAACGTTTATCCTTCAACTTGTCATAGGTTCAACGTGAATTGAATATTCCATTGCTGGCCCAAATGGATCATTTGGACCAGAGGATGTGGATAGAAGAAAATGAAGCCAATAATTTCCTATGGAAAGGAAAGACCTCACATATTAGGTATATTTTCATAACATTTTTGTTTTGGAAATTAAGTTGCCTTGTCTTGAACACCAACGTTGATTGACAAATCTCTGGTGTAGGATTTCACACTTTTACATCGTTGATCTCTTAGAACTTGCCATGCAAAATTACGAGTTTAAGCAATCAATTTTCAGAAGAGAATTAGAAGAAATGTTGAGGTTTGATTTATTCGAAATTTTTGGTGAACAAATACATTTTATTTTGGATTAATATATCTCTGACTCGTGTGTATCTGATTTTTGATATTGCAACAGGTGGGCCCAAAGTTATGGTCTAAGGAATATGGGATTTGGAAGAGAGAAGACAACATATTGTTACTATGCTATAGCTGCTGCCACTACCTCTTTTCCTCAAGACAGTTACATACGAACGCTTGTGGCAAAGAGTGCTACAATGGTCATAGTTGCGGATGATTTCTTTGACACAAAAGGGTCTCTCAGTGAGTTAAAAGATTTCACCAATGCAATTAGAAGGTGTAAATATTATTACCATTTGCCCCTCTTTTTTAACTTGTACTTCATCTCAACCATAAATAGAAATATGAGATGAAGAGGGTTCAAGGAAAATATAACTAACACTAACATAACAAATTGTGGTCATACAATCATAAAACTCAAAATAGAAATAGAAGAGTATCAGAAAATTATTTTATAATTTATTGATAAAAAATACAATAAATAGTGTGTAAATGTTCCATATATGGAGCTAACTAAAACTAACAATTAACTCAAACAAACTAATAACAACTGACCAATTATTCTAATAAACTAACAATTATTAACAATAATATTACACTTAAACTTATAAGGTAACCCTTATATTCTTTATCCTTTTCCTTATATAATATTCTTTTTGCTGGTAAAAATTATATAAAATTATTTTACGACATGTATTTTTTTAACCTAATATAGCTCCTTTCGCTCTATGTATGACAGATGGGATTCTGAAGGCTTAAGTAGCCACGGAAAAGTCATATTTGATGCTCTTGATAATCTCGTGGACGAAGCTGCTGAAAAATATCTCGAACAAGGGGGGATTCATGATATAAAGAATAGTCTACAAGATATAGTAAGCTTTCTAAATTCAAGTGGTTTAATTGGTATATATACTTAACCAATCATTAATTAATAAATAATAATTAACATGGGAGTGTTGCTTTTGTGAAGTGGTATGAAACTATCCTTTCGTGGCTAAAGGAAGCAATGTGGAGCAAAGAAGGAAAGGTACCATCATTGGATGAGTACTTGAAGAATGGAGAGATCTCCATTGCAGCACACACCATTATTCTTCCAGCTTCATGGTTTCTAGATCCTGACTTGTCATACGAGAATCTCAGGCCACCTCAATATGAAACCATCACTAAACTACTAATGCTTATATGTCGTCTATTAAATGATATACAGGGTTACAAGGTAGTTAAATAATTAATATAAAAAAAAACTAGTTAATTAGTTGCTATTAAAAATAAAAATCCTCTCATGAGTTTGATTTCGTGTTGTATAACAGAGGGAAATTGAAGAGGGAAAGTGGAATTTTCTTGAGCTCAACTTGAGGAAGAACCCAAATTTTGGGATAGAGGATTCAATTGGTTTGGGGAGAGAGATAATTGAGAAAAAGACGAAAGAGTTCCTTCAACATGTTATAGTTGAAGGTGAAAGTGATTTAGCCAAGCCATGCAAGTTGCTGCATCTGACATGCTTGAAAATTTTTCAGATGCTCTACCACTCTTGTAATGCGTTTGACTCTAATACCCAACTGCTGGAGGATATTAATAAAGCATTTTATCTTCCTCTAAGTGGAAGAAACATTAAGTCCCTCTAAGATTCTATCTATGCATTTAATATCAACAAGAACGATGCAAGAATGCAGTAAGTACTCGGGCTTTATCTAAATCTCAAAGCTCGATGTATACATAACATGTTAATTAGCTATTGTAATAAAATCACACTTGACACTACTATGTCATTGGTGCTTTTTCCCCTAGTATTAGGGGTATTTTTTTTTATTCATAGTATTATTAGGGGTATCTTCCTGTTCAACTATTTTATCCGACTAAAATAATAAAATAAAATGTTATTAAGGAATTCGCTTTCTTTTCCATTTTCCATTTTTCATTATCTTGGAAGATTATCCTAGATAGGTTTTCAATAAGTAGTATTGTCTCAAGAGAAATATCTCGTCTGTTTTGTTTGATCTTTAAAAAATACAGTCGCCAACATTTAACACCGGTGACATACCCTTATTAGTAAATGTTCTCCTTTATATCCTTATTAGTAAATGTGTTTTGGATGGCATTTTATATTTGGCACGTTATCCATAATAATATTGTATTTTAGGATATTCCTTCTAATTTATTGGATTTGTTTGATACACATTAAGGTTAAGAATAAGAAAAACATTGCACCACAAATGTTCAAGGTATTAAACATCTTTTAATTATGTACAATATTTGGTGAATAATGAACAATACAAATAAAATAATATTAAATTTATTATAATATTATTTTTAATCTTAATTATCATAATAACTTATTGTTATCTTAATGAAAACGATGGTGGGGAGAATTGTGACGATGATAATAACATTGGTGATGGTAAATGACAACAACAATGGTGGTAGGTTGCAGTAATAATACTAGTCAACTATAATAATGGTAGGCATAGTGGTATTGGATAGCGATAGTAAGGTGTTGTGTTTATAATGTACTTAGAGACAAATGTAATTTATTGTAGTACTAATGAGAAAAAGCTAGATATCAAACTCAAAGGACTAGGTTCAAGTAATTACCAATATAATCATAATTTTCAACAATTTGAAGGGATATAAATTTGTTTTGAGAGAAGATAGAAAATAACAATTAAAACAAAAAAAAAATAGAAGGAACAAGATTCAAAAGATAGAAAATAACAATTAAAACAAAAAATAGAAGGAACAAGATTCAAAGATTAAACCCTTGATTGTGACTTACTAATCTCGATAGAATAATAAAATATTGTCGCCAATTTATTTATGAAATTATTGACAACCCATTGGTCCTAAGAAGCCAATAGTCTTTATTTTAGGATTCCTAAATTGATTGTAAGATTATTCGTAAAACAAATTAAGCATAAAAACACATAAACAAATAAATAAATTAATTCAATTGGGAATTAAGAAAACAACTTCATCATGCAAGTTTCCATAATTCAATTATTTTAAAGTTCTATTAATCAAAAGAGTTTGTTCATGCACTTTCAATTAACTACAATAAAAATTAAAAACACTAAAATAATATGACAATTGACAAAAAAAATTCATTAAATTCATCACCATTCACGAGAAATAATTACATTATAATCTTAGAATAGGAGAAAAAGAGAAAATATAAAACTAAAACTAAAAATTGAATGATTTTAATGTGTTTAAGACATCCTATCTATATTCAAAATTTAGGATGAACTTTTAAGCACGATAGTGCATCTCATTAAGCATAGTCATGCTCAATAACTTGGGTGTGTTTCATTAAAACAGGAAACATGGACATGCTTGTGGGCAAATACAGTCGTGCTTCATCAGTGGTGTGAACATGCTTTGTTATTTAGGGATGCTATAAAGAAAGCATGGTCGTGCATGTTGGGTGTGCTTCTCTTGAAGCACCATCATACATCACACAAGTGCTATCGTGCATGTGTTCATCCTTTAGATTTTCTCTATCTTATCCCTTAATTCCCTTGGTTTCATTTTTGTATTTCTATTTGTTGCACACTTAATAAAATAAATAAAATATTGTCAAAAACTTAACATTAAATTAAGACAAAATAACAATAAATAGCAAATTATTATGCAACATTAGAACAGTTTAACACAAGAGATAGGGTGGTGTTGGTACAACACTATAGTAGTGAGTGTTTAATGACCACTAGGGTTAGCTTAGTGGTTAGGTGAGGAGGGGTTGGAGATAGTTAGAAACATGAGGACTTAAATTCAATCTTCATTGCGACCATCTTTGTAATTTTTCTTATCTTTAACAAAAAAAAAAATAGTAGTGAATGTTTTTGTACTTTCACTATAACATTTTACTTCTTTAGCAACATTTATTTATTTATATTTATTAAAATGTTACTATAAATTGAATAAATATGTTATTTTGCAATTTTTTTAAAAAAATGTTACTATAAATAAAGTAACATTTTTTTTTATCTCAATATTATTTTTCTAATTATTTTCAAAACTAAAGTATCATATTAAGTAGAAAAATGTCACATAAAGAATACACTTCTCCAATATCTAATTGTTTCAAAATCAAAGTCTTATATCAAGTAAATGAATGACACATAAAGAGTATATATAATTATAGAGTTATCCTTAAGATAAATAAATTTTGATATTTGAAATAGATTTTATGATGACTAAATAAAAATGTTTTTAATCTTAAAGAACTAGTAGGAGGTTAGGAGTTATAAAGTATAATTGATAGCAACATCTATATTAAAACTAATTATTGTTTTATAAAGTTAACTAAAACTTAACAACATTATTAAATATTATAAAATATCACTTTGATAATATTTAAAAAAATGTTACCTAATTATGTAAAAATATTATTAAAAGCCGTTAGTAATATAGATTATATATACAACATTTAATAATATGTTATAAAAATAAATTAACAATATTTATACATAATTAGATAATATTTTTTAAATATTATCAAAAGTTTTTTTTTTCTTTTGTTATAGTGTCTATAACCACCTGTCCTTAAAATATAGACTAAATACAAGAAGAAAGATTGAATTAGTTGCAAGTATAAGTTTAAAAAAAAATTAGAAAAATGATTATATTAAACTTTTGATCTCTTATAATATTCAATTCGAGATTTTAATTTTTCAAATCTTATAAAATTCACAATTTGGATCTTATCAACATCTATTTATTGATCATTATAATTATAATGTTAACTATGACATGACATTAAGTAAATAATATAATTAATAATTAGTATTTAATAATTTAAATTAAATTATACTTTAAGTCTCACTTAAAATATGATTTATAACGACTATCATGGTATTAAAGATCTTAACTTATTTTTAAAAATAAAGATATTACAAAAAGTAGAAAAAAAGTGTTTAATTAATATTCATTTTTATTATATATATATTAATACTATATTAAAAAAAAAATTATATAAAAGGATGATATAAATTTTACATTGATTCTAAAATAGTATTGATAATGCTTATAATTACTACTATTATTGAACGTAATTAGATATTACCAATGTTAAAGGATAATTTGAATGAATTTTTTTCAATACACCGATAGTGAAATGTTAGAAATATTTAATTATAAAGTTTTGATTAACAATTTTTAGTTATTAAAATAAATAAAATTTGATAAATTATATTAAATTAAATATAAAATGTAAATTTTACCTAAAACTTTAGTTGTTTTTTTTTCACAATTCTACGTTTCAAAAAAGGTACAAGTCAGTACAAATATATAATTTAAATTTTTCTCAATGATAAAAAAAATATATATAACTACCTAAACATCTATACTTATTATAATGTCACATGCATTGTATAAATTGTGTAATTATATTTTGTTTTTATTTTTTAATAGATAATTATATTCTTCAAATGTTAAGAAAAAAAATTCTGATGTCCTCTTTAGATATATACTTATGAATACAAAGTGTATAATATCTTTTTCTATTAGTAATAGACTATTATATCCATAAAATGTTAAGGAAGAAAAATAAATAACTTCTTATGTTCCTTTCAAATAATCATCTATTTCATTACCACTTTTATTTTATTTTTAATTTTTAAAATATTAAGAAACACTAAATGCACATTTTCCTTATTATAAGAGCACTTGCTGCGGGATGTTTATACTGTGTCTTAAAAATAAGTAAAGAGTTTATAAGAAATTTTCATTAGAGTGATCCGTGTGCTTGAAGAAGAAATGGTGTTTAGCACGAAATGTAAAATGTAGAGTTTTCATCGGATCCAAGGTGGAAACTACAGAATCAGAAGAAAAAAAATACCTCCGCTTCTCCCTCCGTCAGCTGGGCGTACCTCCGTCCTGAGCGGCCGCACCTGGCGTGCGCGGAGCCCGTCCTGAGCGTTCTGTCCTAACGCGCGCGCGGACCTGGTGAGGGCGGTGGTGATGGCTAGGGTGAGAGAGAGGGGAAGAGAAAGTGAGAGAAGAGAGTAATTTCCCCTTCTGCTTTTTTTGTAATTTCCCTCCAAGCTTTTTCTAATTTTCCTCCAAAACTCTTTCTCCAAACCAAGTATCACAATTTTATTTTTGATAATAGATAAATTTTCTGAATTTAGTTTTCAAAACGTATTAAATAATATTATAGAAATTAAATTTTAAAAATGTTAACACATTCGAAAATTCACACCTCTTCATTTTCAAAATTTTATTTTTTTTAGAATCTAATTAAATATTTTACATATGAAGACAATTATATTTAAGTTAAGCTATAACAACTAAACTTCATTTTCAAAAATTCATTTTTTTTTTGAAAATTTAATTTTGTGTAATTTATGGTAATTCTTTGTAATATCTAATTTTTTTTATTAAATTTTTTTTATTATGTAATTTCTTTTTTTATATTCATATTTATATATTATTCATAATAATTAATTTTATAAAAATTTATCATAAAATGTAGTGTAAAGTGTCAAAAAGTGTAGTATGAGTTGTAAAAAAGTGCGTAGGGTTCGGTCTTTATGGTTAGGTTATTTTTTGTTACCGGGCCGTCAGCGCCTTTTTGTAAGCTCGGCCGTTGGTGTCGGTGCCTTTTAGACATTTGATTTTTGTAAGTAGCCGTTTTGATCGGCCATAGTTTATGAAATTCCTTTTGCTCTTTTGCCATGTTTATAAGTGCTTAATTTTCAAATTAAACCGACTTCTTACTTGGCCGAGGGGGCCA